CCTCATCTTCCCTGTAGCAATTTGAACCAGATTGATTGGGGATTTATTGCCTAATTATACTTGTCATACTGACATAAAGTCATTAGTTCTAGAAAAACGTGTTTGTCATACTAGGATTATCTCTAATTAATACAGTCAATATCGAACATGTATTTAAAGCCAGAGAGAATGCAGTGTTAGCCATCTTTGAGAACAGGATAGGTTGGCTCCTAGAGTAGAGTATTAGGTCATATCGCAAAATTACCCATCTAATAGCTAGGGGGAAGGTGCTGGCCTCACCCCAGGGTACAGAGTATGGGAAACATCCCATGGCATGAGCTTATCCAGCCTCGAAGCCCTTCCTTCCCGGGTTCCATTGGTATCTTCGGTCCTCTTCTTCCCAGGTTGATGTGCTGCGTTGCCTTGGATACCCAAGGCAGTGCCCTCAGAGCAGGCCTGAGAATGCTGGAGTCAGGAGGGAGAGGGTCCTTCAGCATGTAGCCACATCAGGTCTGCTGGTCTCTCTTCCAGGAGACAGAGACAGGCCCAAATGCGTGCATGCAGAGAGAAGGCTGGGCAGGGCAAGCTCCCAGAAGCTCTGAATTGTGTATTAGTCACGCTGCCATGGGTCCCTGCAGCTCTGTAATAATTGGCATCTGAGGCATCTAGAAAAAGGCAGTATTAAAGTTTTGAGTCATTTGGTTCCAAAAGATCTGTAGTTACAGACAAATTTGGTTTCATTTTGAAGAAAATGAATTCCGCTTCCTTGCATTTGAAAGTCAGATACTCAATGTGTACACACACACACACACACACACACACACACACACACACACACACTTAACTGTCACTAATGTGACACATTTATGCCTAGGTTTATAAAAGGAGAAGTTGGAGCTGTGACTGGTTTTGAGCCTACAGACTTGAAGAACTAACTCCCTGACATCAGGTTCTTAGTTGAAAGTTGAAGCAGGACATGCCTTAACTGTTCTCACCCTTAATAGCAGAGGCTGCCCAAGCTGAGTCTGTCACAGAGGTCACACAGCACAAGAAAGAAAGCAATGTCTGGCTCACAGTGGGCCTGCGTGGGCCCCTGGGGCTGTGTAAAGTCAGGCTTCACTTCCTTAGGTGCATGGAGTAGACTCTGTCGTTTGTGAGGACACGATTGGCTAATCACAGACTTTAGTCCACACTGAGAATAAAGTAGCTTTTATTGACTGGAGACAGTCTGTAAAGTAGCGCTATTGGTCACTATCAGAGCACTTTCATCAGTAAAGAGACAGCTAGAGGAGGGCCGAGGAAGGAGCATCTGAACATCATCGTGTGTCTTCTCTTGCTCATTCCTGCATCATGGAATGCTGTGCTAGCCTTGGAGCCGGAAATGAGATCAGTCCTGCTTTGAGGTGGCATCCTGAGAGCCCACTCAGCACTGGCTGTCTTCTTGGAACTTAGGCAGAATCGCTCTCTCATCTTCCCCAAATCCAGAACCTCCAATCATAGGCCTCAACTATGAATTGCTGAGTCAAAAAGATGGAGAAAACATGTTTTCTTAATGTATTACAATTTTCCTTCCTAAGCCTGTCCATTACTGTTTGGCGGCATAAAGAGCCCATCTTGGTTAAAATGGTAAAAATTTTGTGACTTGGGTGGTATTCAGTGTCCCGGGCAGGGCACTCAAACCCTCAAATCATCTGTCCCCCGCCTTGTTATAGGCCTTGGATGTGTCTCCTCTACCATGGCAGTTTCTGTGGGAGGTCGTGTGTCCCTATAAGAACCTGTGCTGGTCAGCTTTTGTTGTCAACTTCATAGAAATCTGAAGTCACCTGGGAATAGGGACCCCTGGTTGAAGAACGGCCTGTGTAACATTGGCTTGTAACCGCGTCTGTGAAAGATTTTGACTGGTGATTGGCGTGAGAGGGCCCAGCCCACTGTGGGCGGCACCACACCATCCCTATGCAGATGGGCCCGGACTGTGTGAGAAAGCTAACTATGCATCAGCCAGAAAAGCCTTCTTCCTGTGTGGTTCCTGCCCTGGGTTCCTGCCTTGAATTCCTGCCTGCCTTCCCTCAGAGTATAAGCTCCAATAAACCATTTTCTCCCAAGTCCTTTTTGGTCATGGTGTTTGCAGCAACAGAGTGGCAAACTAGGACAACAAAAACTAATGCTAGTGATTTGTATTTCTCATGTAGGCTTATAGTTTGGACACAAGAATACTGTTGAGTTAAATTTCTTAGGACAGTTGGACTCAGCCTGGCAGCTGCACAGTGGCTGCTTCTGGCGCATCCCTGGGTGGTTTGGAGGTGACCGCAGGGCACCCGCATGGGGCTAAGCCGGCACCAGCATGAGCAGTCTCCCCAGGGCCAGTTCCCGCACACCGGGAGAATGTTAAAACTAGGGAGCACGGGCAGTGTGTGTAATCTTAAAGTGGAGGGAAAGTGAGACACTTCCTCACAAGTTCCTGTCCCAGACACGCTGGGGTTTATGCTGGGAATGTGGGAAAATGCCTGTGAAGGGACCGTCATACAGAATTATAACCCTTTTTCAGAGGTTTTCTGTGTGCCACTTGTTACCTCTTCACACAAGTAAACCAACCGTAGGTATCCCATGTGCAGCCAGGAAGGTCCTGTTAGAATTAATGTTAGACACAACATATTTTTAAAGAACACCTCCCTGATGAGTAGTTTTATAATGTTAAAGGGTTTTTGAGTTGTTTTTTCTTCACTAACTATAAAGACAAATATATCCATTTAGTGCAGTGGTTCTCAGTCTTCCTAATGCTACAACCCTCATGTTGTGGTGACCCCCCCCACCATTAAATTATTTCATTGCTACTTTATAACTGTATTTTGCTACTGTTATGAAGTTGTGACCCACACACAGGTTGAGAACCACTGACTTGAATTTGTAACTTGGTTTTGCAGATTTACTGAAAACAAAACTTCTGTGTTTTCACAGTGTACAGTGTGGTGGTGTAACATACAGACTAGGAAGTGAGCATAAGTTGATTAGTGTGCCCCTGCTTAAAGTGGTGACAGTTCCTTTTAGATTTGACTTAAAGGCATACCAGCAATGACTGTCATTGGTTAAAACATTATATTACTACGTACAAATCCATATGGTACATTCACAGGTTTTTTTTTCAACAGCTTTTTCTATGATTATAATCTTTGTAGCCTAAGAAAAATAATACAACAAAATATTTTTCCTGGCACGTGAAATAAATTTTTAATTAATTAGTCTAAAAATTCTCTTACTGAGTTTAGGAAGTCTGGAGAAGGAATATATTTGGGGCTTGGATGACGGCACCATATTTGTAAAAATGTTAGTCACATAACCATAAGGACCTAAGTTTGAGTCACTGGCGTTATGTAAAAACACAGAGGTGTGCGTCTGTAACCCCAGCTGTGGGGAGCAGGCCGGGTGTGTCCCCCAGCGCTAGCTGAAAAGCAAGCTCCAGATTCAGTGAGAGACCCTGTCTCAAAAATAAGGCGGAATTCGAGAGAGGAAGACACCTGAGATACTGACCTCTGACCTCCTCGTGCAAGTGCACTTCCACACCCACAAGTGTTTGTTATGGGAGGGCGTTCTCTAGCAGTCTGGCTAAACAAGTCTTCCAAACTAGTGAAGCAATTTTGATTTAAATAGAATATTGTTCATATTAAGATAGAGCTTAGCTGACTCAGACCAGTGAAGATTTAGAAGGCAGTTGGTGGCGTTAAATAAGAAGTGTTTTTGAGATTTCTGGCCATATTAAAGAGCTCCGCTGCTGGTGTTATAAGAGATCAATCGTGGAGTTCCTCAGTTGAAGTTATTAAGTATCTGTAGGTTCACCAGGCTTATTGTGACTGAATTCTCTGCTGCTTTCTTCTCTGAGCAGTTGCTAGTTATGCAAAGATGCTCAGAGTCTTTGGAATAAACATGCTGTGTGTGTCTGGTCACTTCAGAAGGTTTTCGTGCTCCTAGACAGTGCCTTCCTTCCAGGAATGGTTAATAGAGAGGCCTATTAAAGTTTTATTTATTATACTTAATATAAAAGTAGAATGAAGATACATTTAAATTATTACAGAACATGTAACTGAAATAATCTGGAGTATAATGTAAATCGATTTCCTTATTAATTTAGAAATACTAAAAGCATGTAATTACAATTTGAGATGTGTCCAAACATACCGTGATGATGAAGAAAATATTAGCAATATTTTTTCTTACTATTCCTAGATTATTTGAAAAGGAGTATTGCTTTATTAACTGAGGAAGGAAGGGAGGAAAGGAAAGGAAGGAAGGAAGGAAGGAAGGAAGGAAGGAAGGAAGGAAGGAAGGAAGGAAGGAAGACTACAAATAGGTTGGCCTTATTTTAGAGATAGGCTCTTGCTCTTGTCCAGACTGACTTGAGACTCACAATCCTGCCTCCGTCTCTCAAGCACAGGAATTTCAGTAATGCGCCACCTAATCCTGCTGTCGTGTTGTTTAAGATAGAAAATGTGTGAGCCCAGCAATTGCTTATACAACACATAACTGAGACGCAGAACCCTGTGTAGATATTGCTGGCATGGGTTAGAACAATATATTGTCATGTAGATGTCTTTGCAGGATATAAATAGTGTTTTCAATGACTTTTTTTAAGTGCGCTTATAATCTCTGTAATAGAGGAAGCAATGTGTCAAAATGCTATTAATTACCCACTGTGTGAAGGAAATTTTAAATTTTTAAAGAAGTCACGATGTCTAAAAGTTCTATCACTTCAGTTTGGCAAGAGAGTGTATGTATATATTTTTCTGACAATGTAATTAAATCAAGTGTTGCAAATAGACTGATGTTTCTTATACCTGTATAGAGTATGTGACAAAGCTTCCCCAGATTCTGTCTTTTAGCATGGGGCCAGCTCTGACCATTGGGACGATGTTGGCTTATGCTCAGTTTTCCTGATATAAAAGTGACCGTGGACTGGAACAGAATTGTGGCCAGTCGCTAGGATGGAATTTAACTGAGGTTTTGTTGTTTTTCCCTTCTCTCACTCTTAGGCTATCAGCTGCAAAGGTCAGCACAGCATATCCTACACTTTGTCAAGGAGCCAGACGGTGGTGGTGGAGTACACACATGATAAAGACACGGACATGTTTCAGGTAATGCTTCCTTTTCTAACGGGACCTAATCCATTTCCCTTTGCTTGTGTGCCCTGGCGTGCGGCCAGAACATCCGCCACGGTGCCTTCAGCCATGCCCAGGAGAAAGATGCGAGAAAGGTGACTTCAATTCGAAAGGGGAAAAGGAAATCCCACAGCATATCCTCAGATAATCCTGATTCTGTGCTTGCTTGTTTTTGAGATTGTATTTTAATTGCAGCATTTCTCCCTTCCCTTTCTTTCCTCCCTCTAAGCCCTCCCACAGGCTCACCCCCACTCTCCTTCAGATTCATTTTTCCTCATCAACCTTAATGCAATAAAAATTGGTATTAACAATAGGCAAAAATAAGATAAAGCCATTCTCTTGTAAAACAAAAGTAATAGAAAAGTTTTTAAATAACACAAGTCAGAGAAGACATGAAAATATTAGAGGTTTCCATAAATAATTGGAGCAGTGTATGAAAAATTCATGTGATGTGGCCAACACCTTACTCTCTTCTAGAAAATGTAAAGCTGAAGTACTTTCAGAATTAAATCTTCAAACAGTAAAGAGTGATAGTTAAATGACTAAATGCTTATCTCAAAAAGCTCTTCTGACCTTAAGAAGGTGTAGGATGAGGGTAGGAAGAGTTGATGGCATATTACAGAGTCTAGAAATAAACCAAACAAAAGCAAAAGAAAGAAGAATATTAATGAAGCTGAAGAAAAGGATTAGAAAATGCATGCAAGATTCAGCACTTACGAAACGGAGAGTTTTGATGTGGACTCGTAAAGACAGAAGGCAGAGGTGAGCCCTCCACTTGTGTATGGGGAGGGAAACCGTGGGCAGAGTGAGTGCAGGATGGAGAATCAGGTCCTGCCGCAAAGCTGAGCCGATTTCATGCGTTGATGGGAAGACTTAGTTAGCAGATGAAGCAGCAGGATTTGTGTTTCACGGTGTAGCTTCTTTATGAGTGTCAGAAGCAGGAAAGGTAAAGTGAGGACTTGAGACAGCAAACCCAGATGCTGAAGGTTGATCCCTGTCCTGCATTAATCATCTCCCCAGACGTCACAGAAGGAGCAAGAGCAAGGCCAAGAGCAAGCCAGGGGCAGGTGACAGAAAGGGAGCCACAGATGGCAATCCCTGCCTTTACAGTTGTTAAATGCGGAACAGCTCATGGCAGGGTACTCCTTAGTGTTGTTAACTGGAAACACAGCACCAAGCACCTTGTGTGGAAATGGCCTCTGAACAGCTCTGAGTCAGATCAGCATCTCCGCAGGGCAGCATTTCAGCAGCACCAGTGACGTAAACCATTTATTTGTTTATGCCTAAACTAGTAGCTAAACGTAAACGTAGGCCATATAACCACTAGTCTATAAATAAATAGTTAGGGAATATGAAGCATGACTTCACAATGGTACATGCTATGAAGCTATATTTCCTAACAAAAAACTAGCGGTAAGTACACACGTCAGCAGGAGTAGAGTGAGTGGGTAGACCAGAAAGACTCACAGTGTACATGATCTTCCAATGGCTCCGACTAGCAGAAGAGCCAGCCTACATCAGAACTATCTTCTTTCTCTAAACTGTCCTCAACATTTTTGGAGAAGTATTTAATTATCTTTCTAGCTATGTGATTAAAAATTAAGATCAAAATTGCTGTAAGTGGCAGGCCAAAGAAGAAAACTGTCTCAGAACTAACACTATAAAATTCTAAATGATTAAATGTTCAAGGATTTTTTAAAGTTATCATTGTATAAATTGCTCAAGTTAAAACATGCTAATCCTCAGGGGCTGGAGAGATGGCTCAGCAGTTAAGAGCACTGGCCGCCCTTCCAGAGGACCTGAGTTCAATTCTCAGCAACCACATGGTGGCTCACAACCATCTCTAGTGGGATCTGATGCCCTCTTCTGGTGTGCAGACATGCATGCGATAGAGCACTCATATGCATGAAGTAAATAAATAAATCTTTAAAAAAATAAGAAAAAGAAGGGACCAAAGAAGCTCTCAGCAAGAGAGGGAATCCAAGGAAGAGGCACGTGCCTTGCAGTGCTCCTTAGGTGGGACAAAGTCCCAAGTGCTCTCCGAGCATGGCATGACTTGACTAGAGTCGAGACCGCACTTAATTAGCATCACCGTAGTTAAAGGAAAACATTAATAATACCTACATTTTAAGTTACTAGTTTTGGAAATTGTCTTGTACTTGTGTGTGTTTGTGTCTATGCATGCATGTGTGTGTTTGTGTGTGCTAACAGAGTTGGCCACCATTAGAATCCTTCCTTCATCATCTTTATATCATATATCCATATCTTTATATCATATGTGTGTGTATATATATATATATAAATATGCACACGCATGTATATAGTGCATCTGCTGTGCCAGATTCTCAGCTAGTTACAGGGGTAGAGAGCATAGTAGTTCAAGACCACGGAGGCAGATAGACCTCCCATCGGCAGAGTACCGGAGCCCCAAGACTGGGACAGGGGCAGTCAGGAAGGAAGTGAGGAGAGATAAACAGATGAGTGGAGTAAGAAGCTATTACCTGCGAAGAAGGTGCTAGATAAAGAGTCCCTGTAAACGATGATGATAACTGAGCCTCGAAGGGGAAGATGGAAGGACTTGAAGGGTGCTTGGAAGCTACCATGGCAAGATTATACAGAGGGACCATGTGGACAAGGAGCAAAGTGGAGACTTAAGGACAGTTCTTGGGTTTATTTTTAGATTGAACAAATTGTGTGGCAGCCATTGCCCTCCAGAGAGGGGCTGGAGGGTCTAAGTTCTGTTGGGATCATGTCCCACCAGAGATGCTCACTAGGCATAGGGTGGATTGGATGTGCTACCTTGGAACTTCGAGAAGAGTCAGCACTTTTGGCTAGTGAAGGAGATTTGCCGAGATTATCTTGCAGGGTCTTAGCCCAACCACGGAAGGCTGAGCTGGGTCCCAGGAAGGGTAAGTGCACTGCTTGCCTGGTCCCCAGAATCCCGGAGACAATCAGACGCTGCAGGGAGTCTAGTCAAGCAGGAACTTCACTGACCCACAGCAAGCATCTTTTAAAGCAAAAAACCACAGGGGAGATGACAGCCAGCCAATGGTCCTAAAGGTCAGCCTATCTTATGCCTAGGCGCCCTATGCTTTACCTAGTGAACAGGAGCTGTTCATGCAGTGACCTCATCTGGTTTGATCTAGGCAAGCAATCATCTTTTTTGTAAACAACTCAGGACTCGCCCGTCTGACTTCCCCTCAGCGCCATCTTTGACTGGCTCGTGTGCCTCTTGGCACCTCCACAGAGATTCTCCTCTTAGAGCACCTTTTGTTAAGGTTCACTCAAAAGGGAGATGTCCTCAAGGCTGAGCCTATCACAGTGTACGCGAGGGGTCATCAGTTGGGTCTCTTGAGTCTTGGTTCTGATTAGTCTGACCAGCCTATTGAGAAGGCAAGGCCCAAAGACACAAATTAAGGTTATTACTACAAAGGAACCCAAGAGGGTGGAGACGGACTTATCCAGGAGTCTGTCCCCGGTTTCTCACACCTCCGTTATACACAGTAGAAGGTGTCCACCCCACCACATTTGGATATGTCCGTTGCTGTTTGATTGCTCCCTGGGCATATGTAGAAGTCAGTGTCCCTTAAGGATGCCCTATTGGGAACATGTGAGCAGCCCAGGAATTTTGGGGGTCTGATACTTGGGACAGTTAGCACCCCCACAACCCTCCACATTCGGACCGTCCTTGATGAAGAGAAGTTCGGTCTCCCACATCCCAGGATCCTCAGGCCAGGTCACAGAGGTCAAAGTAGAGCGTGGGCCATCAGGTCTGGGGGACTGCCTCATTCATGGTGCTGTTGAGGACATCTCCATTGGCAACATCAGTCGCCATCCATGTCAACTTTTGGGAATGATGAGGGTTCTGCTGGGTGGTCACTGGAGCAGTCAGCATCAGTAAGAGTGTCAGAGCGGTCAGGAAGCAGGACATCATCTGTAATTTTTAAAGAACACAAGGGCTTCTCAAGGGTCCGGCCTTGTTATTTCAGAAGATGAGCCTTGGCCACCATTGTCACTTCCTTTTCTTGTTGGTCAACCTGTTCTTGGTCATCCTCCTGCATTGTGGGAGCAGGCAGGAATTTTAGATTTCTGGCCGGAAGCCAGATGTGCTCTGCATCCCCATGGGGAAGGCACATTCAAGTCCTCTTCCCATTGTACTTAACGGGTCTGGGCCCTCCACTGGGGTGTCAGAGGGTCTTTCCATTTGACCTTAACCTGGGGTTTGGTGACCCCAATGCTTTTGGAGCTTAGATTCAGTTGCCCCCTTAGAAAAACTCAAAATGTTAATAGTAAATAAAGCCATTCCTGGTTGTAAATGGGGGTTGATTCCCCCTTTTTGTTTTAAAAGTTGTTCTTTAAGACACTGATGGTTTCTTTCTATAACTGCTTGTCCCTGAGTGTTGTAAGGGATTCCCATAGTAGGTTTGATGTGCCATCTGTCGAAAAATTCTGCCATGGAATTACTGGCAAAGAAAGGGCCATTATCAGCCTTAACCTGTGTGGATAACCGTGGGGTTGCGAAACACTGGAGGAAGTGAGCCAGGCTCTGTGCGATAGAGGAGAGCGAGGATGTCGTAGCGGAGGGAAAGGAGGCTCGAGAAAGGCCTCCGTGCCGCTTGGGCGCCCCTGGCATTCAACAGATGAACTTCGATTATATATAAAATTCCAAGTACGGCGGGCGAGCGAAGTTCTCACTGCAGCTCTCCGCTGAATGCCAGCACTCCATGAATAGCAGATGAATTTAGAAGCATCTTGGCTTGTGTACCACTTAACTGTCAGATGAAATGTAGAGGCAGCTCAGCCTGTCTACCCGACTGCCTGTAAGAGAATGTGGAGCGGATCCAGCAGAAGAGAGGACAGGCTGCAGGTCCCCACACCAGCCGGGTCCTGAGTAAGAAAGGGGCTCGTTTTTCCTGGCTGGCAAGTAGGAGGCCGTGTCTTAAAGGGGAAATGTTACTATCACTCCAGAGGTTGGATGCCAGTGGGGGTGAAGTGATGAGTCGTGGGGGTGAAGTGATGAGTCGTATGAGGTCGGCCAGATAAGAGCACGGCTTAAAAGAATTGATCCTAACAAGGTGTTCCACTTGGAATAAGATTTCGGGTCTTAAAGTCGATTTCAGTTCGATTGCGAGACCTGAATTTAGTGTAAAGTCACTGTGTAGCAGTCCTAGAGGGAAGTGATTGCTGTGGGCATGTAGGGGCGGGGCTGGGAAGTGATTGTGGTGGGCATGAAGGGGCGGGGCTGGGAAGTGGGCCCCGGTTGGCATGAAGGGGCGGGGCTGGGAAGTGGGCCCCGGTGGCAGGTCACTTGCCTGGCATCTCAGAAGAGCGCTCGCTTTTAGCTTACAACCGTGTGTGCCGTCCTGCCTTTCTTAAAGACTCATGGGCATGGGACACAGGCTTCATTCAGGTTTTGTGATGTGAGCAGGGAAATACGGGCTTCTCACATGCATCTCGCTCCTAGACATCTTTTGGAATAAAAGTTCAGGGTGAGGAATGATGCTGGGTTGAAGAAGCCTTGTTTTCTCCTTTTTATGTTTCTATATTTACTAAATATCTGCAGCATCTGCGGCTTTTTTTTCAATACGAATGAAAGCTCCACAAGGTCATCACAAGGTCAAGCTAGTCATGCCAGCGTGGTTGGGGGAGGGGCTGACAAGGTCAAGCTAGTCAAGCCAGCGTGGTTGGGGGAGGCGCTGACAAGGCCCCACCTTGCTGAGGAGCAGCTGCCAGATGATGGCTGTGGGGGAAGGGAGAAGTGCGATTGCTTTGAGGTTGTGGATGCCAGAAGGTGGACCGTGCCCTACACCAGGGCACGTGTGGGCAGCGCTACCTGGACTCAGGTTTAAAGGGGAAAAAATAACAGGATGTTGAGAGGGGGGTTTGGAGAGGAGTCCAGGAGGGTGGAATGAGGAATAGGGAATGGGTGTGATCAAAGCATATTGCATACATGTATGAACATCTCAAATAACATGGAAAATACACATTTTTAAAAGGAAAGGAGATGTGCTTGCATTCTGTGCTTTTGTCCATTTTCATTTTGAGCTGTGCATATATAAGACTTTTAAATTTATTACTAAGTAATTTCAAGTTAAAATCATGACTTCGTCAGTAGAGCTAAGCTACACATCCATCTTGAAAAGGGATCCGACAGAAGGGAGGTTGCACAACTCTAGAACAATGAAGTATACGATATGGTTTATGTTCTCTTAATTTAGATTCCTATGTTGTATTTTAAGCAAGTTACATGTTTTCTGAGACTGAGATGCATGCAGCTAAGCACTGTACATCTGCTGAGGTTGATGAGCTTCAGTGAGGCCAGGAACTGTGCTTATCCCAGGCGCATTTCATTAGAGCAAGGCATTAAGAGCCAGTAAAAGACGAGCAAATAGACGTGGTGACTGTTGGCTTTGCGGGGTAGTCTGCATGGGAGCATGCAGGAGACTCGAGACCCGTGTGTGGGAAGGAAATGGGAGGCCCTGCTGGGAAGCATGCAGAGCTGCATGGTGTGAGGTCTCGTCATTTCACTTTGAATTTTATAAAGACTCGTGTATTTCCCATTGCTTATCTTTTCAGACAGAATTCACAATCAGAATAAAACACCTTGGAAACTGATTTCCATGTCCTTCTGTGCATCCGTGTCAGGGCCCGTGTGTTCCTCCCCCTGGCAGCTTCTGAAGGAACCGGTGTCTGTTTTCAGGCGAGGGCATTAGTGGCGTATTTAATAAGGAACTCTTCACCGTCATGTAAATGGTTTTGATTGAAGGCATGTTTGTCACTGCCTTCTAGGCAAACACATAGGGAGCATCAGTATGCAAATGTTTAATATCCCATCCCGAGGATTTTCTTATTCATAAGCAACTGTGTCTTCTAGTTTGCAGGAAGGAAGCAGGGCCTGTTTAGTGGAATCTACTAAACAGGAAAAGTTGTAAAAACTCTGCAGTCAGAGTGAAATACAGTCTCCTGGCAGCTTTGAAATCTCATCATGGAAAGGAAGCCACTATAATATTGGTAGCAGCTTTTAGACTTCCACAGGGAGGTTTCTTTGTAATCCAGACGTGCGGTGCTAAGACTAGCTTCTTAAATATTTCCTTCACTCACATTTCAGGCTTTGGATGGACTGTTCTCAGGTTCTCTGAGCAGTGGCAGCTGGTGTTTTCCTGCTGTCCCATGTAAGGGCTTTGTTTGCTCAGTGCTTAGGGAGTCCAGCAAGCCAGGAGTTCCTTTGTTTCTTCAAAAGTTCACTTTCTCCAGAAATAGAAAACAAAGAATGGTTTGCTGTAGAAGTAGTATCTCCAACTGGACAGAGAGAGAGAGAGGGGGGGGAGGGAGGGAGAGAGGAGAGGGAAGAGAGAGGAGAGGAGAGAGGGTCTAACATCATTCACCCAGAATAGAAAACTGAGCTTTCTTGTAATATTTAAAATTGGTGGACTAACAGTCATAAAGGTGCAGTTAAAATGAATAAGATCTAGCATTCTGCTATATACTGTTATATCTGCAGTATTGTGCATTTTTATATGCCCATCTCAGACTAGAGAGATAGCTCAATTGGTAAACTTCTTGCCTCTCAAGCGTGAGGACCTAAATTAACACACACACACACACACACACACACACACACACACACACACACACACACACACACACTATCTCCAGGGGTAGTGGTGTGTGCTAATAATTTCAGTGCTGAGGTGGAGGAAACAGGAGGCTCACTGAATCCTGGTGAGCTCCAGGCCAGTGAGGGACTGTCTCAAAGGAGGTAGACAGTATCTTTAAAGATGACGTCTAAGGCTGTCTTCTGGCCTCTACATGTGTGTGGACTTGCGGTGCATGCGTGCACAGTGTGGGGGTGGGGTAAGGTCTCATTAACTGTTGTGGGACCATGATAAAATGAAACAGATTTTAAAGAGATCTGATGGTTGTATACTGTAATTTCTCTGAGGCAGACAGAAAGGGCCCACACTCGACTAAGCGAAGATAATGAAGTTGATGTTTCTGGACTCTGGTCCTGTGAACATGGCGTGGAGCCTGATGCTCTTCACGTGAGTCACGAGAGTGTTTGGTTTATTCAGGTGGGCAGATCAACAGAAAGCCCTATCGACTTCGTGGTTACGGACACCATTTCTGGCGGCCAGAACGATGACGCTCAGATCACACAGAGCACCATCTCTAGGTTTGCCTGCAGGATTGTGTGTGACAGGAGCGAGCCGTACACGGCACGCATATTCGCAGCTGGATTCGACTCTTCCAAAAACATATTTCTTGGAGTAAGTACTATGGAAATATTCTGGTTTCAAAATCCTACCCACTACTATGATTGTTGTTTAACTTGGGAGGAGGTTGCTTTGTGTGGAGGCTGTAGTTAGACGTTTGGAGTTTCAGTTTACAGAAGGATAACCTGAGAAGGCAGTGGTAGAAACTGAGGATAACGTGAAGCCAGGTCATGTGTACTAAGGAGGGGGAAGCCGACGGTTATAAGTTCAAGGGCAGCCAGCACTGAAGAGACCCTGTCTCAATAAAAAGAAAAAAACTCTGCAGATTACTCTGTTGTTGTTGTATCAATTATAATGTATGCAATAATTATTTTAAAGAGTGCGTGTTAACATTATAATGCATCTATGGTGATTTGAGAGGTTTATTTCAAAGGGAAAAGCAAATGGCCAAATGTAGGCATTGGGAGCTTGGAGGAAATTGTTAGTGATGTGTTCGTTGAAAGTTGAGTGTTTGCTGTATTCCATACTGGATGTGGTACATGGTTATAGAAAACAAAAGCCCAGCCCTCATAGGTATCTTGATAGACAAACCCTATCTTAATACAAATACCTTTTGATTCCGAATATTGCTACAGAGGGAAAATTGTCCACTGTGACCTAAAGGATAATAAAAATATAGTGTCCTTTTCAGGGGTGGTTGGCGTGGAGTTCAAGATAAGATTTCTCTATGTAGTCCTGGATGTCCTTAAAGTAGCTATGTAGACCAGGCTGGCCTTGAACTCACAAATCACCTGCCTCTGTCTCCTGAGTGCTGGGGTTACAGACGTGCGCCACCACTGCCTGGCTAGCTTTCCATCATATTTTAAGGACTCTGGAGTCACCGCTAGTGTGCTTTTTCTGGTCTGTGGTGGTGTTCTCCAGGAAAAGGCAGCAAAATGGAAAAACCCAGATGGACACATGGACGGGCTCACCACCAATGGCGTTCTGGTGATGCATCCTCGAGGAGGCTTCACCCAGGAGTCCCAGCCTGGAGTCTGGCGAGAAATCTCTGTCTGTGGAGACGTGTACACCTTACGAGAGACCAGGTCGGCCCAGCAGAGGGGAAAGCTGGTGAGTGGACTCGACTCTGGGAAACGTGCTGAAGTGCAGACGTTTCATGGTGGCCATCACTCGCCCACCTGTGGAGCTCAGAACTGTTGTGAGGGGTGGAGTGTGCCATTCTCTGATCCAGAAGCAGCATTCTGTAAGCTCCAGAGTCGGAGGACTGTGACTGTCCCTCCTTATAGCTGGTAATTCCTGTGTGGAAGTTTGTTAACTTTTCATCCTGTCTTAAGACCAAGATCATTTATTATATTTATCACTGAAAAATTAATTCGTCTTTTCCCTTAATACTTTACTAAGAAAAATCCTAAGTAATGGAAGACAGTGAGTGAGAATTTTATATTATTAAAGAAAGAACTAGATTTTCTAAAGCCAAGAAATAATCAAGTTGGCATTCCCCCCTTAGTTTTGTATTTAGAAATTAATCGGGCTCTAGGTATTGCTCACCAGTTCTCCTTGAAGGCATGCTGATGCCTTCCCACGAATGCCATTGCCAAGCCTTGAACAGGTGCTTCTGTCGCCCTTTTTGGTCATGAGTGGAGTTTCTGGCCTTGTGGTAGCCTGGGGGACAGGCCCTGGAGGACACACTCACCTTTCACTCCTGCTTTGTCACGTAGAAGCTAGAAAGAAGGAATGAGGGCCGTTTCCTAGATAATATAAAAGGGCATTTCCCAGAGAGTCACAGACAGAACACGCCGGGGTAGAGGGTGTGTGTCCGTGGGCTGCAGAGAACCAGACGTTTCTAGGATGGAGGAAGGACTCGGGACCTGGTGAACAGTTGGCTGTCCTCCACCTGAGACTTCATCATTTCTGTTTCACACGCCCTAGGGACAGGCGAGGTCCCTTCATCTTACAGTAAGACTGCCTTGTCTCCATGATGTCTCTACTGAATACACAGGAAAAACGTTTGCTGAGAAAGGTCAGGCCAAGTCTGCTTTACTTATATATTTCTCAAATTTTAAGTAGGAAAGGGATTGTGAGGACAGTTTCTTGACAAAAATGTTTCTGATCATCCAGTAGTTTCACACAAGACTGGCCTAGATGAACTGACTTGTGGTTAATCATTACAGCCTCGGGAGAAGATGGCACGGGGGTTGCAGGCGCTGCACTCACGCTCCTTACCAAGAGTCTGCTCATCCCTGCACCACGGCCCTGTAAAGGAAGCAGAATCGCCCCCCGATCTAGGAAGGCAGGCAGCCAGGAAAGTGAAGTTCTGCCCTGACTGTATTACAGAGTTAGGAGGTGGCCATAGTCAAGATTCCACTCAGCGCTGTGCCACAGGTCTGCGTGAGTGGGTTCGTACTTGAGTGTTGGCCTACCTTTGTGACTAGAAGCTGTATACTGAGCTGGACACAGTAGCCCCTGCCTCTAATTAGTATCCAGAGTAGAGGCAGGCGCATTGTGAGTTCTGGGTCTGACTGGGCTACATCGTGAGACCCTGTCTCAGAAACCAAAGGGTGGGAAGACAGCTCAGTAATCCAGCTTTTACCTGGCCTGTGCAAGGCCCCATTCTCCATCCCCTGCAAGAAAAAAAATTAAGTAAAGCTATCCTGTGACCCATGGCAAGATAGTCCCAGTATGTCACCAGGTGGGTTTCTTATCCTCTCTGGTTGTAGTGATATAGCTTAGGCAGCTGTGTGTATCATAGATTTCTGGTGGTGGTAGTAGTACGTGGGCATGTGTGTCTGAGTATGTGTGTACGTGTTCACGGGTGCACATGGAGACTGCAGGGCAGCCGCTGGTGGTGCTCCTCCGGCACAGCCTGCCTGTTTTAGACAGGGCTTTGCCCAGGAACCTAAGAGAGCTAGCCACTGATTCCCAGAATCCTCTTGTCTCTGAGATGGCAGGTGCACAGCACCACGTCTGACTTTCTCTCTTTCCTGCTTGCCAGGCAAGTGCCGTTCTTACTGACCTGTCTCCCCCAGTCCAGACAGACTCATTTTAAAACCAAGGCCTATCAGTAAAGTAACATGTCTTAGATGTTTCTGTAATGTGAGCATCTTCCTCCCTCAAACCCAGACCTCAGGACCATTGGGTCTAATACTTTGTCATCTCAGATACTCTGCTGTGGTGCAGCTGCCCTGCACCCCTCCAGTCCGTGTGCTCCAGAGCTGGGTGTGAGGCACGCTGATTGTCTCAGCACCAAGACCTCCCACCCAGCCCCCCAGCCCCCCGGCCCCCAGCCACCCAGCCCCCCAGCCACTCAGCCCCCCAGCCCCCAGCCACCCAGCCCCCAGCCCCCCAGCCCCCCAGCCCCTCAGCCCGGGCCTGATGCCTTGTGCTGTGACAGCATCCAGAGTCGCGCAGCCTGTTCAGTTCCCAAGGGTTCACTCCATGCTTAGGGTAATGACACCTCTCTGGTGTGTGATCTTATCACCCTCTTCCTGGCTCCTGGCATCTTTTCCAAATCTCCATTGAGGAAAAATTGTTTCAAAATTCTTTTCTAACCTATTTTCATCAAAGTGGCAGCAACCAACAGTGTTTACTGCATGCCAGACTTCTAAGAATGCCTTCTGTTTTAATGTAACCCTCACAGTCACCTTCTGCATTCCAAAGAAAGGGAGAGTATGGGGCAGTATGCTCTACTGACCACCCCAAGGTCACCCAGCTGCAAGTGACAGCCAGGCTCATAACAGGCCAAACGCCCAGAGTCTGCTGTCAGTCACTGCGGGTCAGTACCAGCCTCTCGGTACTTGGTTGACCTCCCCCAGTCCAGGCACGCCTGCCTCCTGCTCCTGAAGCGTGTGTTTCTATTTTGTTCGACTCGCTCTCTTCACAAGCAGAGGTGGGCTGACTCCTGCTCACCAGACCCAACCCTGCTGCTGGTCAGCTGGTGGTCACCTGTGCAAGCGCTCGGTGCCTGGCGCAGACAGGCGTCCTGGGAAAACGAAGGCTTCTCATGAAGGTCCACCTCTGGCCCTAGGAAAAACAGGAAGGCAGATGGAGGCGTGTGCGGCTAAGGGTTGCCTGGAGTGTTGTCTCTGGTGAGGCCCTGCCTCTGCGGGAGGAGCATGGTTCAGGCAGCGCCTCCTCACCCCTCATAAGCTGCATGGGTGTATGACAACATAAAAAGTTAAATAAAAGTACAACGTGTATGAGATTCTTAGAGTAACTGCTGCGCTTATCAAACTTACAAGGCCCAGCTTTGTGGTCTGAGCGCTGCACCCTGGACATTATGGTCCTGTCCGGTCAGGTACGTTCAGTCAGCCCGGTGTCTTCCGTTTTTCCTAAGGAAAGGACGTTGGGGTGCCTTTGCCCCCATAGTTTGCAGGGTCTTGCTTTTAATGGCATACCTGTTGGACCTGTTGCAGGTGGAAAGCGAGACCAATGTCCTGCAGGACGGCTCCCTCATTGACCTGTGTGGAGCCACACTCCTCTGGAGGACCGCGGATGGCCTTTTTCACACCCCGACGCAGAAGCACATCGAAGCTCTCAGGCAGGAGATCAATGCAGCCCGACCCCAGTGTCCTGTGGGCCTCAACACCCTGGCCTTCCCCAGCATCAGTCGGAAGGAGGTGGTGGAGGAGAAGCAGCCCTGGGCATACCTGAGCTGTGGCCATGTGCACGGCTACCACAACTGGGGCCACCGGAGTGACACGGAGGCCAACGAGAGGGAGTGCCCCATGTGCAGGACTGTGGGCCCCTACGTCCCTCTGTGGCTGGGCTGTGAGGCGGGGTTTTATGTTGATGCCGGGCCCCCGACTCACGCCTTCACCCCCTGTGGACACGTGTGTTCAGAGAAGTCTGCCAAGTACTGGTCTCAGATCCCACTGCCTCACGGGACGCACGCCTTTCACGCCGCTTGTCCCTTCTGCGCCACGCAGCTGGTTGGCGATCAGAACTGCATCAAATTGATTTTCCAAGGCCCAGTGGACTGACGCCCTGACAGCCGTCTGTGCGCTATTAACAAGTTACTGTGAAGGTTTTGCCACTAACTCTAGATTCTACCTTTTTGTAATGCCGGTTTGTTAAGGGAGAGGCAGACTGGGATGGGAAAGGGGTGGGTGGGGGGAATCTGGTTATGAAACATGGCAGGAGCTGACAGATACCACTGTGTTTTGCATGCTTGGAACAGCAGCAGCATCGTTGGGGTCTGCCTGATTAAACCTTAATACTTGTGTAATAATTGGGTTTCAACTACCATGCTTTTGTTTTTACCTTCAGGTTTTTAACTGAGTTTCTTTTTGCTTTATAAACTTGGACACGATTTGACATCCTCTTTTTTTTTTTTTTTTTTACAAATGTAAAAGAAATGTATTCAACAGCTGTCTCTTAGTGCACAGGCTGCAGTGTTCAATGGCATGCAAGATGTGCAGTGGCTGGAAATACTTGGCAGTGGCCAGAATTTGGCCCAGGACCAAAGGGCCAGCTCTGTTGGCCCTTCCAGAAGCACCCAGCAGACAGGAGGCATAGGCCAGGCACCTGTTTTAAATCTACAGCTTTTTTTTTTGTCTTCTTCTCATTTAGTTTTCTGGCTTTGGGTGGAAGAGACTATCCATATACTATTTTATTTTAACATGAGCGGAGTTTATTTGCACACTAATTCATCAGATACTCAAAAGGCATGTCAAACAGATTTTCCCACAAGTTTTAGTCTGCCCTGTTACTTTTGTTTAATATGGGCTGCCTCTCATTCTCACTTTACCTGTCAAAAATGATTGATTGATTGATTGATTGATTGATTGATTGATTGATTGATTGCTTAAAATCCGTCAGCTTTCTGAAATGCATGAGCGGCGGGTGTCAGAGGCAGCAGTTCACAGGAGCTAAGGGAGGCTGTGGCAGCTGTGGGCGTGTCCTGGGTACCCTAACAGCATCTTCATCTGCATCCCGACCTAGGGAGATTTAAAATATGCTCTTACTTTTTAAAGCCACGTGTTGGCACTTCGTGGTATGGCTTCCTCCCTCCTCCTCCTCCTCTTCCTCATCCACTTGTAGAAAGCTAAATCTTGTGAGCCCCAGAGCAACAGATGACAATGAGAGGGTCACTTTTGTTCACTGCCTCCCACCATCTGTCACCTTCCCTTCCAGGTTAAGGAGCCCCATTAACTCTGAAAATGTTTGCGAATCCAAACTAAATTTGAGTGTGATGAGTGGATACACTGAGCGCATCTGCAGAGCAAGGGAGTATTCACCTGGAAATAATTACACCAGAATTTCATAGGAGTTGTGCTATCCCTCTCTGTTAGTTTCATTTTGGGTTAATTAATAATTCCTGAACACTCATTTTCTGTGTTTGGTGCCAGGAGTATTGTAGCTCGCGGAATGTTAGAAACTGCTGGGTTTAGCTACATTCCCTGGGAGAAAGTCTGCAGTTAACCTAGTGTCTGTTTAAATGGACCTTCCACAGATCTGGGCGGCCTGGTCTAGCTTTTGTAAATAATGTATAATTTATGTGAGTCTGGTATACTATGTCCATACTTGAATCGGTTTTTCTATACTTTGCCTATTTGCAGGTATTTGGCCTATTTTCAGCAAATTAAACCTATTTGAGTACTTTTTCTTAAAAGCAAAAAGTATATTAATGACTCTTTAATGCTGCTGCTGTTTAATTTGACTAAAGTATGTTGGATTTGCCTGTCAGTTTTAAAATAGCTTTATCTACCCATGGAGACCATTTCGCAGGAAGCGAGATTTTGTGTGTGTGTGTGTTTTTTTTAATTATTCTATTTGTGATGTGGAAATCCAACAACAACAGTCTTCCCTCTGTTAATTTCCTATGTTCTACATAGAAAGGAAGGAAGGAAGGAAGGAAGGAAGGAAGGAAGCAAGCACACTTTCTAGAAAACCCTATTGGATTCCATCTGATGCAGCCAGAGTCTCCAGCACTGGTTTCCAGAGAAGGATAAAGGGCTCCTTCCTCCTCCTGTTACATGGAGATAATTTGAGGATTCTTAATATCCTAGGATTATCTTCTGCTATAAATGGTGTTAGACCCAGAGAGGTTGTTGAATTTCAACTATGAAAAAAAAAGCTTTTAGTTTTCAAGTATATTCCACTGATACCAGACTTCCCTGTGTCAAGGGTATATAAGTCTACTAGTTCTGCGCAGGGCACGTGCCCCTAAATAAGGGAGCATCCGACCTTCAAAATCCGTAGCATTGCAGACTCAGATGGCTCAAGTGCAAGTTGAAACTTGGGTGTAAACGCACGCTCTCCAGTGGCAGTAGGCCAGCTTTGGCGCTTCCTTTGGTTTCCACATGAGGCTCTCCTTCTACCTTGCCAGGTGACTAGCAGTGGTGTCACCCCTGCAAAGGAAGCCCTGCTGACTTGGACAACCTTGTGCTGACGGAAGGACTTTCATGTTGGAAAGCAATTTCGTTTTTTAAGAATAAAGGACTAGTTCATCCATGTAGAATGATAGAGTTGAGAAAAGGAAACTTCCCCAAGGTTGCTTCTGTTTTCATGCTTGGCTTGTCATCACATTGAAAAAAAAAATGAATCCTAACCCCGCCCCGCCCCACATGTACATAAAGAAATCACCAACCTCTTGCCCTGGTCTCAGCCTGACCAGTTTGCCTTTTGCAAATATGTTTCCATATGTAAATCCCTAGTTACATGCTTCCATAGACAATAGGTTTTTTATTTTCAGTTCTTTGTGTCATCTTACTACAAGAAATCATCAGGGTGAATGGGACAGAGCTCTGAGTATTTTTCTAGTGTTTTATTATTATTGATCGTGCTGCTGGGCCATGCACACTGCAGCTGTCAACATTTCTCTGATTTCGTTCAGCTGTTTGCAAAAAGGGCTATAGTTCACACTGCAGAGTAAGTATTAAGCTTTCTGGATCCCCCCACCCCCGCGCACCCCACACTCCCTCCCCCCCCCCACACACACAAACTTCTGTGACCAGAAAGAATGAGAAATCTTTTAATATAAAGAGAGCATATTTATATCATTCCTCAATAGTTAATTATAGGGTTTGGTACCTTTGTGCCTCAGGGAAGCCACGTGATGTAACTGGTTATAGACTTTCAGGGTTAGGATGTAGAGAAAGGAGAAAGCCATTGGAAACCGTGACGGGCTCCATTGAGACAATGAACCTAATGCAGAAGTAAGCCAGGACCGGCGTAATGTGATTGTAGTAGAATTTGTTTCCCAGGACTAGTAGGGAAATCATCTTAAGTTATTACATATGCTGTATTAGGAGAGTTGGGAACTCTCCATACAGCATCAACGCCTCTTATCTTTGCTTACCAATCTCTGTTATTTGGAGCTCAGTGTTGATATTTGGACACTTTTAGGAGTTTAGGGGACATGTTTTCTTCTTAAGGTTTTTTTCCGTGGTTTCACTCAGCTTCTTTTCTTGAGAACTGGTCTTTACATTAGATGTGCACAAGAGGTGGAAGTCGTGCCTCTCACAGTACAAATGCAGACACACAGGCCCCGGGACCTTGATGTCAAGCCAGATGTGGTTCTGTTCCCTTGGCTGCCCATCTCATGACCCCATGGTTCTCCCTTTGTGGACTGAGGGTCTGAAGCTCCTGCTATGATGGTGGACACAGCTCCAGACACTGCATTAGGACCCAAGGCCAATGAGATAACTGGAGAATGTCTTTAGAAGATGCTAAGCATTACTGAAGAGGTAAAACAAAGTTCTGTCTTGTCTTTTTAAATATGTCCTCACAAGTGTCTGCCCCCATGACTCCCTAGTGAACAATAGAGAAAGGCAAATATGTTTTCCAGTTCAGCTTAACTTTCTAAACAAAAATCATCACGCTGAAAGGGATGTTCTGTCTTCTAGGCTGAGATCACAGATTGCTTCTCTGTATTAAATAATCTAGAAGTTAGGGGGCTGGCCATATTTACCATGTATAGTGTTACAAGCAGTTAAATTTTATGGCTATATTTGTAAAATTTGTTCTTTTATATTTCATGTCAAATTGAAAAATTTATTTCTTCACTGTTGTACCTGTGGAAATACAAGCCATTTTACAGGAGGAAAAAAAACTTCAAAAGCTATTAAACAAATCTCACCATGTTTGTAAGTCGTCTTGGACTCTGTTGTTAGCACCGGCTTCATCAGGACATACGATAGGACATGGATGGAAAAGCACACTTGATTGTACATTTCCTGAACCTTCCACACGAATCCCAAACAGACAGGTTTGTTGTTGCTTTTTACTCTGCACACTGCATACTTAAGTCTATGTTCTGAAAATTCCCCAATTTTTTTTATTAAAGAAACTCCATTGGTGCTCATATTACTATCTCTTGTGACATTTTATCACTGTCAAATAAATGTAACCTGTAGGAGAATTTAACCTGGCTTGTAGAATTAATGGGTTTTCTTCATGATCATTATAACTGCATTACTACTTTTGTGGTAGCCTTAATTCCTTTTTAACAGCACAGGGTGGTGTGTAAGCCTTCAAGTATTAAGCTAGTTGTTCATCATAAGACTATATTTACATTTGTAGTGGGTTTTGTTTTTTTTTTCTAGACACATTGATATTAAGGGATTATTGCTGTTGTTGAGGGAAGTAGATTTTTCATTTCAAAAAAAATGCAAACATAGCCTTCCATACAGGAGGCAGGTGATCTATTTTTTTTTATCAAATTTGAGATGTCACTAATTGTGAAATGTGTCTCTATAGTCATACAGCCAGTTACACTTGTAAGGTATATCCTACTCAGCATGTGTGCTGGAGTTCACTCAATGTGAGGAAAATGGTGTGTTCAACAAATGGATGGGGTCCACTGGGTGTAAACATGCAAAGGGATGAAATTAAGGCCCCTGTCTCAGATAGTATACAACAACAACAACAACAATAATAATGATAGCAGCTCAGTGGGCCAAAGAGCAGAACTGTAGAACTTAGAAGAAAGCTTAAGCTCTGGTGTCTTTAAATTACTCAGTGGTTTCTTAAATACTACCACCATGAAAAACAAAAGGAACGAATAATGAACAAATCGGGTTTCATCAAGATTAAAACCTGGTGTACAAAATGAAACTGTCGTAAGAAGCCAACACATAAAATAGGAGTTAATATATGAGGCCACACGTCTCATGAGAACACTAAATCAAGTTTATGTAAGAACTTCAACTTGTTGACAAGAACACGACCCCACCAAAAGAGGCTAAAGTTTGTTTTTTTCCCAGAGAAGATACATAAATGTCCAATAAACACATGAAACACATGCAACAGAATTGACCATTGGGAAATGCAGATTAAAAGTGCATAATTCTGCTTTATATCTACTGCGATAACTGAAAAAGAGATCATCACAGGACCTTTTCAAGAGGCTGGGACATGAGAATCCTCTTTCTTTTTTCTGGGACAGGAAAATAATGCTGTTTCTCAGAGCGCCCAATGTGGACTTACTATGCGACCTGGCAGTCTATACCTGGTACCTGCACCAAGAACCGAAAACACAACACCCCCCTCCCCGGTGCCTTATCGCCATCCCGACCCCCCCACTCAGAGCCACCCTCAGTCTCCCGGGCCCCTTTCTAGTTTCCTGGCCTTCACCTTTCCTTTCTTCCACCTGAAAGTAGGCGTTTAACAAAGATCAGGATCTGCATGTAAGAGAGAATGTGTGCGCTTTCTGAGCCTGGCCTACCTACCCACTTAAAATAATGATTTCCAGTTCCATCCACTTTGCTGCAAATTCCGTTTTTCTTTGCAACGGAATGCAGTTCTCTTGTGTGTATGTGAAACATTTCCGATACCCATCCATCTGCTGGTGAACATGTAGGCTGATCCTTGCTATTGGGCAGAGCCGTGGGGATGTGTCAGTGCAGCGTTATCCATCATAGGAAAGGCCCGAGGGCGATCCACCCTCCTGAGAAATGAATAAACACAATGTTTGTTCACACAGTTTATACAGACAATGAAATGTGCATACTTCGACACAGATTAGCCTTGAAAATACATGTGTAAGATACAAAGGTCAACGTGTGTGTGTGTGTGTGTGTGTGTGTGTGTGTGTGTGTGTGTGTGTGTGTGTGTGTGTGAGAAATGGAAATCCACGGAGGCAAAATAATGGTCACTGGGGATTAAGGGGAAAATAAAGAATGGTTACAAACAGGTATAAGGTTTATTTGCAGTGGGATGAAAATGTTCTAAACTTAGCAGTGGTTGATCAACTGCGAATATGCTACAAGCAAAAACACTGAATTGTACACTTGAACAGAAAACAGCTACATGCATTTTATCTCTAAACTTATTTTTAAAAAGGATACATCCTAGGGCCAGGGAGATGTCTCAGCAGGTAGGTAAAGGCCACCAAGCCTGACAACCTGAGTTCCAGCCCAAGGATCCATCAGTGGAACAAAAGAACAGGCATTCCGTAAATTGTCCTCTGACTTCCAAACACTCACTGTAGCATGCACATGCTTACACACACACACACACACACACACCCAGGAATGAAGATGACTGAAAAAAAAAACATTAGATATTTTCAAATTAAATTGAAGGTTTTCCAAGACAATGATGAAATCTAAACATCAGTATCCTCCTCAGTCGCCTTATTTTCTTGGGACAGGCTCTCCCATTGAGTCCAGAGCTTGCTGTTTTCCCCCTAGGCTGGTGGCCAGCCAGCCCCAAGAATCCTCAGTCTCCACCCTCACCCCCTACCACCAGTACCCAGCACTGGGGTTACATGCACACAAGACTTATCTGGCTTTTTACATGGGTGCTGGGGATCTAAACTCCGGTTCTGATGCTTGCACACGAATCATCATTATCAGTCTTGAATTTGGTGGAGAAAAATAGACGTGTAGTTTCCTGTGCTCATAATACTCTTTAATCCAAGTCGGAAGCTTGAAAGACAGGTAATAGATATCCTTCAAAGTCATTTACTCTACGTGGTTGTTAATATCCATTTTAATTAATATGTCAGACAAAAAACACTAGAGTAATAACAAAATCATCTACTACAGGAGAGCCTGGAATTACTTGTCAATGCAGGTGGCACCAATTGGACAACCAATTGGTTGCATTCTTGTTTTGTAGGTCTTAATATTTTCCAAACAGATTATATTCGTGGAGAATTAATGTTGGGAGAGTACTGTGTGCTTCATTCTCACTAAGTTAAGTTTCCTCTTCAAGAGCCTGCTGCCTCAAAGGACCTAACATGGCACAAATTATGCATATAATTTTTAATTCACTGATTTGGAATTTGTGATAGCTTAGACAAGATCAGATCTTGCATAGAAACCCTTGGGTGAATAATGAAAATAACAAAGGAAAATGATAAATATTTCAAAAGACACCATTTGAAGCATGGCAAATGTCTTATGTTCAATGTATTCATTACTACATATAAATATCTGCTGTGGAATATTAGTTGAAGATGTGTTAACATTCGTTTATGCTATGGAACATTTGTTTAATGATACAGAGGTATGTGTTGCATTCTTTCAAGTTGCATTTGTTTAACTCTGCGAAGCTATGTTACTTTGCCTGCCTAAGCCACCTGATTGGTCTAATAAAGAGCTGAACATGGCAAGAGAAGGGATAGGTGGGGTTGGCAGGCATAGAGAATAAACAGGAGGAGAAATCTGGGGAGAGAAGATTGAGGAGAGGAAAGAGAAGAGGACATCAAGACCAACCACACAGCCAGCCCTGGAGAAAGAAGGAAAGAAAGACATAGAATAGAGAAAGGTAAAAGCCCAGAGGCAAAAGGTGGACAGGATAATTTAAGAAAAGCTGATTAGAAATAAGCCACACCAAGGCCAGGCAATCATAAATAAGACTATGACTCTGTGTATTTATTTAGGAACTGGGTAATGGGCCCCCCAAAGAGTATACAATAAAAAAACCCAACATCAATTATATGCATATGTAATGATGGTCTGTATTGCATTATTCATTCTTTACTATAAAATTTGTGTGTGTGTGTGTGTACACTACATGCATGTGAGAGTACAGATATGTGCATGCAGAGTACAGATACATGTTTGTGCGAATGGGAGCTAGCGTGGGATACCAGGCACCCTTCTCTGTCAATCTTGACTAGATTGCCTTGAGACAGGCTCTCTCATTCCACCAGAAGCAGCTCACCATTTTGGCTAGGGCAGCTGGCCAATAAGTTCTCAGCACCTGCCTGTCCCTGTCCTCTGACGTCATACACGGTGTTTTGGTGTGCGTACTGAGGATTCAGATTCATGTTATCGTGCTCGCAGCACAGGCACTCTTCCTCACTGAGCCACCTTCCCTGCCCTCCTGTAAAAGTTAGTCAACACTCTAGGGCGTCTGCCTTGACTATCAATTAAATGCCATGTATCTGAGTGTGTTGGAATGAAAACTCACTCTCGCCTTGAATAGTATGTACTGTAGACTTCCCATTCCCTGGCCTCTACTCCAGGTCTTGCAGGTTGACCATTGTCCTCCATTGCTGCTGTCTCTAACATGCCTGTACATGCCTATGCCACAGCTAGTCACTTTCTATCCTCTGCCAAATTTTAAAATGTATTTGTGTGTGACAGTGTGTCACACCACAGCACACGTGCGATGGTCAGAGGACAACTCGCAGGAGTTGGTTATCCCATGTGTGGCTTCCAGGGAATGAACTGAGGTTGTCAGGCTTAGCAGCAAGTGTCTTTACCCACTGAGCCATCTCAGGGGCCTTCTGCCCGTGTTTCTGATGGTCCCAGTTGGATTGTGTGCCTCACCAATAGTAGAGACATTTGTTACAAAACTCAAGACTGTTGGGATTGTGCAGTCAGGCACTGTGTAACCTCTCCAAAGACAGTTAAGTAGTAAAGCCTCATCTATGAAAATTAAATCGAACACTTTGAAAGGGTTCTAAACGAGTTTTTTGTTTACTTATTGTTTTTTGAGGCAGGGTTTCTCTGTAGCTTTGGAGCCTGTCCTGGAACTCGCTCTGTAGTCCAGGCTGGCCTCAAATTTACAGACCTCCACCTACCTCTGTCTCCCGAGTTCTGGGATTAAAGGTGTGTACCACCACCGCCGGCTAAACAAATTCTTAATCTAGGGAGTTTCTGTAGAATGTTTGGAAATGTGTAGATTATG